GGAGACTGGTCTTCTATTAGAATTTTTACGATAGTTTACTAGGAAAAATCCTCATGCGAAATTCTTTTCTCTTTTCCGACAGACAGCTGTTCCCCGCCCCCTTTTTTTCATTCTCGATTTGTTGATCTTTTTGCTCCAAAATCTTCCCATTTCGTCAAAACGTACATAGACAAAACTATGACAAAACTGCAAAATTTGAAAACTTTTGTTTTTTGAGCTTTTTCTTGTTTCATTCATAAGTTTTTTAAAGCTTTCCCCTCGCCAATTTTTCTTTAAGACACCGGAAGTCGATTGTTTTGTAGAAAAAAAGGGAAACTTTTGTTATTCTTAAGGAATAAAACGTTTTGCTTGTTTTCTTGTTTGCTTGCTTGCTTGCTTTAAGGTTTAACTTTTCAAAAATTGATTTATTCGAAATGTTTTTGAGCTAAAATTGAGTGTTGTGTGTAGTAATCATTGTTAAATTAAATTAAAGCCATGTTAAGAACAAGACTTGACTCCAGATTAGTACAAATTACAAGTCAAATTGTTAACGACTACGCGACTGTAGGCTAAAAATGCCATGTTAAGAACAACCCTGTGTAGTAATCATTGTTAAATGACGAGTTTCAGCTTTTGTTTTTTTTAAATAAATGCTATTTTCTTTCTATTGCTTTTCTATTTCTATTGCTATTTTCATTATTGAGCTAAATTTTAAATCCCATTTGTTTACCAAAAAAGATTTTTTTGAAGATTACCGCAATTTAGAAATTTTTTTTATGAAAGCCATTTCACCCGTTCCACTTTCGTGCAATTCCCCTTGAAACTTGGTTTGAAAAATTGTATTGCAATGACTGAATGACTGACAAGATGACGTGACGCAATGCATTTAATTTTGTCAAAAGTTTATGTAAAAGTATTGTAAATGTAATGGGAAAATATGCTGTAACTTTAGCGGGATCTTTAACTTTACAATATGCTGTACTTTATAGTATCTTTAACGAAGCAAAAAGTTCCTTGTTTACTTGTTCTTTCTAAATTCTTCTCAACTCCATCTTTCCCTCAATTCTTCATGACTTTATTTTATTCCCGTTCTTATCCATTGGCATCTGGCTAAAATAACAACCTTTCATCCAAGTGAAATGATTCTTTTATTGGACGATTTAAAGTTATATTGAGTTTTCCCTGTGTTGGACTCTCTAAAAGTCAAGCAAAAAAAGTTTAACGAGTTCGAGAAAAGTTGCAATAAAATGACGCAAATTTGAAACAAATTTCTTTCAACTTTATTCAACAACTTTTTCTTCCAACTTTATTGTGGCGAATAGCCACTAAAAGTTATCCAACTCTGACAGCCTAAAAATTGGAAAAGTATTGAGGAAATCGGTGCGCTTTTATTCTATTTCGCGCCCCAAAATCATTTATTGTTTTGTAGCTTGTTAGCTGAGTATCTTGTGTTAAAGCCTATATAAGGCAACTGTTGTTCATTTGTTTCTGTTATCTTTCATTTTTTACTGCTTTCCTCTCATCGTGTGAAAGTTGTGTCCTAATTAGGGGGAGTGGGACAAATGCGACCTTTTTTTTGCGCACCCGAACATTTGCGCACCTTTTTTTCCGCACCCGGCCCATTAGCGCACCTTTTTTCGCGTTTTAAAAAAGCTCTAAAAAGCTAATATAGCTAATAACCAATTTCTATTCCAAAAGTTGTTTTTCTAGGTAATTCAAAGGTTTTCTAGGTTTTTCTAGGTGTCGAATTCAAATTTTGACATAACAGAGCGTGTGGAACCAATTTGAAAGACAAAACGTCTAGATCAAATTACAGAAAATTGTCGATTTGTATCTCTTGTCGATCTCTTTGTATAACTCCGCCCGTTGGCTTCCACAAGCTCTGATATGTCAAAATTTCGATTCTACGCCCTAAAATTACCTAGAAAAACAACTTTTGGAATCGAAATTGGTTAATATTAGCTTTTTAGAGCTTTTGGAGCTTTAGAGCTTTTTTAAAACGCGAAAAAAGGTGCGCTAATGGGCAAGGTGCGGAAAAAAAGGTGCGCAAATGTCCGGGTGCGCAAAAAAAAGGTCGCATTTGTCCCACTCCCGTTATCTTTCATTTTTTTACTGCTTTCCTCTCATCGTGTGAAAGTTGTGTCCTAATTAAGACGAAATTGTTTCTGTTTTTATCGTCTCTTTTAATTCAATTGTCGATTTTGTGTGAAAGTTGCTCAAGTGATTCCGAGGCCCAAAGATTCCGAGTCAGTCGGCTATTGAATTAAGTGTTTTTAGTTCTAGTGAGATCAGATATCTCGAAACAAGAAATAAGTGTCTTGAGTGAAGAGTACCAAGCACGCAAACAATATTTCTTTACACTTATTCAACAAATTTCTTCCAACTCTAAGTTTTTGATCAGCTGAGAGACTAAGATTAGCTAATGCAAAGGGAAAATTTTCATTTCATGTCAAAATTTCGATTTCCTCTCTAAATATTCAATGAATTTCCTCTCGTGGTTATGCATAAATTTCCGCAATGATCCTCTGCTGAAATTTTTCAAAAATTTGTTTCTACTAAACTTTTCAAATATCTATTCTTCAAAACAATCGACTCGATACAACGATTTTGAAATTCTAAATGGCTTCTGCGTAGCTTTGGCTTCTGCTTAGCTTTGGCTTCTGCTTAGCTTTGGCTTCTGCTTAGCTTTGGCTTCTGCGTAGCTTTGGCTTCTGCGTAGCTGCCCAACCAAAGGCAATTGACCGTTCCGAGCAGCAAAGTAATTTGAGACACGTTTTAGAATCATTAAATCGAAATTTTTAGTCCTGAACGAATCGTTAAATCGAGAATCGACTGTACTTTTGTTTATTTAGCTCATTTTCATTCAAGAACTCTCTTCATATTCATCTTTGTTTTCCGATTTGTTTACATGGTTGTTTTTTTAGATTGAAAGTGCTTTCTGTCTAACTACAAATCGAAGAAATTGGTGTCAATATTTTCTCGAAAGAATTTTCTAAATGTAAATTGTTTTTTTTTTAAAAAAACAAGCAAATCTGTACTTTATGAATGAATATAAAAGCTGTCAGAGCTTCTGCTCATGTGGAAAATGAAATCTTTTGGTTAATTTAAAATGTCCAAATTTTGTTTCAAATTTACTTTTAAAAATGATTTACTTTAGCGACTACGCGGCTGTACGTCATTATGCAGGGCGCTACTATTACAGATATTAAGGTATATGATGTGTTTTCTTGTTGATAATATACAGTCGAACCTCTCTATAACGAACCTCGATATAACGTAAACCTCTCTATAACGTAAGGCGTGACCGGTCCCGGCCGACGTTAAGCTATATAAAACGGCACTCTATATAACGTAAACCTCTATATAACGTAAGCTATAGCCGTCCCGTGAGTTACGTTATAGAGAGGTTCCACTGTACTTTGCGCTTTCAATTCTTTCGAAAGATGCGCCAGAAAGGATTTGTTTGAGAACTCCTATATTTCGATAAATGATTATTGGGTCCGTTTTCCGTTGTACATTGATTATGTTGTATACGTACCGTAAATACCTGTAATAGTATCGCCCCCCGTACAGTCGCGTAGCTTAACACACAATTTTGTGACGCTCCAAAAAAAATGTGCGCTTAGATGTCAAAAGATCGCGCTTGAAGCGAAGAATTTTTTTTGTATTAACAGTTTAATTTAATAACAGTTTATTAACAGTTTCATTTAGAAAAATCTAGGCGCGTTCAAAAAAATGATTTACTTTAGCGACTACGCGGCTGTACGTCATTATGCGGGGCGCTACTATTACAGATATTAAGGTATATGAAGTGTTTTCTTGTTGTTCTTGATGTTGATGAGACAATTTGAATAGTTGACGAACTTGGTTTAATAATTTATTTAAACAGACGAAATATTGGGGAATAAAAAAAAGGTCGCATTTGTCCAATATAGAAACGTTGATTGCTCTCTCTCCAAAGAATCCAACTTAATCTCTAATTTTTCGTTGTTTTTCTCAAAAAAGAAGTTCTTTTCTTGAGATTTTCCTATAAAAAAAAACAAGACTATTCTTCCCAGAAATCTCAAATTTCATTCTCTTTTCTTTTCCCTTCCCTTTTTCTTCCTTTTCCCTTCCTTTTTCTTCCTTTTTCCTTTCGTTTTTCTTCTCTTTACGCATAACATTTCGTTTTATTCGATGATTCTTTTGAGGTTCGGAATGGAAAAACGCCCACAGTATGTCTCATTTACAATTTTCCTTCTTTAATTGATGAAATACCTTATTGTTATTTGTATTTGAAATAGCTTTTTTTGTTAGTTTAACCAGTTTAACTAGGTTAACTAGGTTAACTCAATTTTAAACTTCAAAATGCCAAAAAATCGTGCTTTTTCAAAATGAGAACACAAAACAATAATGAAAATTAGTTGCAAAATGCCTCCAAATCATGCTCATCATCCATTTTTCTTTCAAAATGGCGTCGAGGAAAGGCTGTACATTAATCCGATCATGATTATCATGATTGATGGTTGATGAACACTAATAAACAAAAGAAAATAATGAAAATTAGTTGCAAAATGCCTCCAAATCATCATCCATTTTGTTCATCATCCATTTTTCTTTCAATTCTTTCAAATTTCTTTTCACTAAAGTTTTAATGGAAAAGAGAACGAAAGAAAGCCTTGAGGCTTTCTTTCTCCCGCCAAAAAATCTTCTCAAATCTTTTTTTTCTTGTTGTTAAGTTGACTTTAACTTTCTTTAACTTCTTCTTATTGAATTTTATGCTTAAAATTATTAGAGATGCATTTTGCTAATGCATTTTGCTCATTTAATGCTCATTTAATTTAATTAATTTAATTAATGCTTGTTTTACTTTCTTTATATTGAAGAAATTTGTTTTGTTTTCTGTTTTCTGTTTTCTGTTTTTTGTTTTCTGTTTTCTCCTTTTTCAAATCAACCAATTTCAGCGATTCATACATGCGGATATTTCAAATTCGATTATTCAAAATTCGATATTCAAAAAAAGTTTTTGAGAAGGGAAATTGATGGATAATATGCGAGAAACGAAAACACCAAATCAACAATATCAAGGTCAGCGAATTGATCGCAACCGAGACAACAGAGAAAAAGCTCTGTTGCTATTGGTTTGGCTATAGTAAGCTATAGTAAAAGCTATAGTAAGCTATAGGAAGCTATAGGAAGCTATAGGAAGCTATAGTAAGCTATAGGAAGCTATAGGAAGCTATAGTAAGCTATAGGAAGCTATAGTAAGCAAGGAGCATAGGAAGCAAGGAAGCATAGGAAGCAGGAAGCATAGGAAGCAAGTAAGCATGTAAGCATAGGAAGCATAGTAAGCATAGGAAGCATAGTAAGCTATTGTAAGCAGAAGCTATTGTAAGCATAGGAAGCATAGTAAGCTAAGGAAGCATAGGAAGCTATAGTAAGCATAGGAAGCTAAGTAAGCATAGGAAGCATAGTAAGCTATGTAAGCATTGTAAGCTATGGAGCTTGGCATAGTAAGCTATGGAAGCAGTAAGCTATGTAAGCTTAGAGCTTGAAGCTATAGTAAGCTATAGGAAGCTATAGGAAGCTATAGGAAGCTATAGTAAAACAAAATCGTGATTTTGTAGAATTTCTTAAAGAACATATTGTCAATATTGTGCTTTTGATAAAAAAACCCATAGATCGATTGGTTTATTATTTATTTTAAAAAGTAACCTTTAAAAAAGCTTACAAAACTTTACCGGCTCCAGATAAGACTCCAAGTTGTACGATGAGATTGAAACCCAACTTTCAACCACCTTAACTTTACCAAGCTGATGAGCTGATGAGCAATCATTCATTTTGTTTGCAGCTTTAAGAATTTCATTTTAAAAAAGGAAACTTCTAGAATATCTTTAGAAGTAAACAAAAAAAATAACAGTTTTGTTTTGTTTCATCTTTGAAAGTAGATAGAACAAAACTAGTTTTTCAGTGATGCTCGAGCCAATGCACGAGGCAACAAGACGTGGATTGCACATACTAAAGGTTAGTACTTTAAATAGTTAATCATAAAATACTTTACTCAAGCATACTATATACCGTATTTTCTGTAATAGTAGTGCAGTCTGTAATAGTAGTGCAGGCTGGAGGGGGGTTGAAAAAATAGTAGTGCGCACTACTATTACAGAGAATACGGTACTGAGTACAGGGTGACCAGAAATAACGTTGCGGCCTAATTTAGCCTATTTTTTTTAAAAATCCAAAAAGATTTTGTAACAGAAACAATTTTTTATTAACAACATGATATAAAGAGAGCATAAAATCTACTTTTCTTCAAAGTGGCCATCTTTGGCCACTGCCGAGATGGATGCAGAGCCTCAAAGGCTTGATGAAGTTTTCGGGCCGCAACTCGGCCGGAGTGATTCGATCCCATTTCCTGGTCAACGATCGCTTAAGAGCCTCCAAACTTTTGTGGGGTTTTGCACAAGCCCTTGCCTCCAAAATTGGCCAAACACTGTAGTCCAACGGATTGAGATACTAATAGGTTGATGCATAAGTCTTTTCGTTTTTTTCGTACTTCTGTTAAAAAGTAACAAATTCGCCAATTAATCTATAGTTTGCTCTATAAAAAAAGTGTTTTTTTGTTCAATTTGCATCTTTTTAAATGAATTTCGGTTCACTTTCAAGCAAATTCGAGAGTGAAAAACGCCTTTTTCGTAAAAATCTATAAAAAACTCTACGGAAAAATTGGCTAAATGAATTTCTCTGAAATTTTGGCGAAATATCAAACGTTTTTTTTTCTCTATCTTTTATCTATTGACACGAAGATAGGTTTTCTTTAGCTAAGGTGTCTAAACCGCATCATCGAGTTAGCCCTTTTTGACTACCCGACTTCATTCTCTCAAGAAAATCCAGGCATTAAATATTTTTAAACCCGTTTTAATGTTATTTTGCAGAAAAATAATTGGTTTTTCTAATGAAATCAACCGTAGTTTAATTCGTGCATTTGTTGGCTTGAAACGGCAGACGAAAAGGAACAAAAACACTTATGCATCAACCTAATATATACTCAAGCATACTATATACTCAAGCAACTATATACTCAAGCATACTATATACTGAGTATAATACTGTATCGAGTACGAGTATATCCTCCATAGGTTACCAAAGATTACCTTTGGTACTTTTAGGTACTAGTACCTTAGATACTAATAAAGTTCGTGGGCCACTTTGCTCCGATTTGGTCAGATTTTGACCGTTTTACTAATGTTATTTCATTTTTCTGGCATAACTAAACATGCTGGATCTATTAGTGATATTTTTTTAAAGTTTTGAACAATCTTTATTAATTTCTTGTTGAGCTAGTTGTTAGAACTATTGCAGTGCTGCAGAAAATGAGGCCACGGGTGAAAAAGAAAGTGAAAACTATTTAAAACACTCTAAAAATATCAGTAATAGATCTAGATTAAGAATAGACACCAATAAACATCAATAACCAATAAACAATAACCAATAAACAATAACCAATCAAACAATAGATTAAGCTTATTTGATTGTAAGAAAATGAAAAAGCAGACTAGAAAAAAGGGATAAAATAGCTTCTGGTTGGGTCAAGGGAAAGTATACCAATTTAAATGAAATCAATTCAACACTAAACAATCAACCTAATCAACTTTTTGCAGACAGAAAGCAAGGGTTTCACGTGGCGTCAATGGTTTGCTCTTTTGATTGCTGTGTTTTCTTTGGGACTTGTCTTCTTTTCACTCATCATACAACAGCCAAATACGCATTATGATCGGTTTGTTGATTGACTTTTTGCTGAAGATATATTGGGTTGGTGAATTGAAAACTGCGGGCTATTGTCATATGTGACAGTTTGAGCACTTTCTTGGGATTAGGGATCAAAGCTCAAAATGTGAATTTGAACGGAGTGCGAGTAATTGTGCGCCACCTTGTCTTAGAATCTTTATGGTAGGTAGCTTTAAATTGCAATTTGCAATTGATATCTTAGGCATTTGTGTCAACCCATTGGAAAAGTTGGAAAATGGAAAAGTTGTAGAGAATCAAAAATCAAGCTTATATCCAAATTTTGAGAACAATTCAAAAACTGGTTTTCAAGAAATGCCAAATTTAAGAATTTTCACAAAACTTGCACTTTAAGCGAAACTACTAAGTGTATCTTTTTGGAAATTTGGCTATAAGCCGAATTTTTGATTCTCTACAACTTTTCTATTGACACCAAAATGGGTTTCTTTTGAAGAAAGTGCTCAAACTGGGCTGACAGCTGACATCTCCAGTTCTCCATTTTTGAGTTTCACACTTGTCTCACACACAAACCAAAATCCTACTACGAAAGAGGAATCCACAAATCCGCAAATTGCCTATAAAATGGGCAGAAGTCGTGAATAATAATGGAAATTATTTCGAATGAATTTATGGTTTTATGTTCAATAAATTTTAGTTCAAAATCCCGCAGTTTTCAATTCACCAACCCAATAGTCGTGCACCCCGGTGTACTGGGAGTTGCTGGATAGCAAGACGACCCTTAATGCAATCAAATACAGTGAACAGTTGGGAAAGGTGAATGAATCCCTGAAGAAGAATAGGCCCTCCAAGTCAAAGATCGTTCTCATCCACGACAACGCGCGCCCTCATGTTGCAAAACTGACTCGCTCTAAAATCAATAGCCTTGTTTGGGAACTTTTGTCGCATCCCGCATACAGTCCGGACCTCGCCCCTTTTGATTACTATTTATTCCGGATTATGAGTAATGAGCTTGCGGGAGAACACTTCGATTTGGAAGGAGCCGTCAAAAATTGGCTCCAAAAGTTTTTCGATTCAAAACCAAAATCCTACTACGAAAGAGGAATCCGCAAATTACCTGTAAAATGGACAGAAGTCGTCAATAATAATGGAAATTGTTTTGAATGAACCCATGGTTTTATTTTGTTCCCATAAGTTCCGCAGTTTTCAATTCACCAATCCAATACATATAAAAAGTTCTCATTTAGCTCTCTCGATTCCGAACTTGCCAAATACATTCATGTTTCTCCAGAAGCCGCAAATCTACCCAAAAAAGGACAATTGTTTTGTTGGACAATGACCGCAAAAGGATATCATAAAACAAGAGTGAGGGGAAAAAAAGAGAAAATGACAAGAAACGAAACGATAAGATTTAAAAGCTGAATGTTAGACCGCTTCTTTATCATCTTCTCCATCATCTTCTCTATCATCTTCTCTATCATCTTCTCCATCATCTTCTCTATCATCCTCTCCATCATCTTCTCTATCATCTTCTCTATCATCTTCTCCATCATCTTCTCTATCATCTTCTCTATCATCTTCTCCATCATCTTCTCCATCATCTTCTCTATCATCTTCTCCATCATCTTCTCCATCATCTTCTTTATCATCTTCTTTATCAAATATTTTGTGAAACTCATTTATTAGGATATTAATGTGTTGCCTAATATTCTTAGAAACGAAAAAAGAATTTCATTTCAGGCCCCAGCCGTCAATGAAACGTGGCTTCCGAGGTGTGATCATGGGCAATTTTTCACGAATTTTCCCTTTGATTCCGAGTTGAAAGCAAGTTATTTATACAAAAAAAAGGCTTGCAGTACGAAATTCAAAACCGTATTAGATATTAAAAATCTACCAAAACCAAGCATATTAACTTTTTTTCGATCCATTTCCCCTTTTTCGGTCCGTTTGCCGTTGGTAATCTATGAATTTTGCTCGTATCTTCCCTGGGTTTGTTTGAAAAAAAGTTGAAGTTGCTTTTATTCGACTCGAAATCAAATTCTCTATCGAATGAAAGCAAATTCAACGTTTTTTCAAACAAACCCAGGAAAGATACGAGCAAAATTCATAGATTACCAACGGCAAACGGACCAAAGGTAGGATTAAGGTAGGAGAAACATTCGTAGATAGCCAAACGGATCGAAAAAGGAGTGAAGTTAGCAGTTAGCATAGCTGAACAAAACCCAGATTTTCTATAGATCGCTCACTCTACCATATTCGCCGGCATTCCCGATTCATACAGTAATCTTTTCTTCAAAAGTCGATACGCTTTTTTTCACATCTACACCAAGATTTCGAAGGATTTCGAGTGGTATTTAAAGGTGAGACGAGTTGGTGAACGAGGATTTTAATCTAAACCCTTAAACTGTAGAGAAGCACCCAAAGAAGAGCACCCAATTTTCAGGCTGATGATGACACTTATGTAATCGTTGAGAATCTTCGCAGCTACCTATCAAAGCTTAATCCCGATCTTCCATATTATATCGGATATCGATTGAGACCGTATCTGGTGAGTGAGTAACCAAAAATAAATCTGTTACGACATTGACTTGAAACAAGCTGGAAACCTCAAATCATTTCCCATTTTCCACATTTCCCACTACCCACTCCTAAACTCGAATAATTTTTACCGCCTCAATTCAGGAACACGGTTACAATGCGGGTGGCGCGGGTTACGTTCTCTCAAGAGCGGCAATGAAGATCTTCGCCGAACAACTCTATTCAAATGCCAGCCTTTGTCCGGACGATATTTACGAAGATGTGGGCATTGGGAGGTAAACGGAAAAGATTTTATCCAATTCTAATTCTATTTAGATGTCTGGCCAATGTGGGGATCTATCCATTGGATACAAGAAATAGTCGAGGACAACAAAGGTGTCAAAAGATAGCTTTTCTCCTTTAGTTTTTCATAAATAAGCTTGACTCGAATATAAAAACACTCATCCATTTTTCAGATTTAACACTTTCCGACCGGATGAAGTGTTTCATGGAAGTGTGGTGGAGAGTCCCTATTGGATGTACGATGTGGAGATTCGGGTAAAAGATCAACAAAATGTGCACAATCCTCTAAAATGGCTCATTTTACTGCTTGCTTCTGGAGATCTCACAATTCCAATAAGATAAAAAAATTTTAGGGCTACGATGGTGTTGGCACGGATCTGATCTCTTTTCATCATTTGACTCCCGACGAAATTCGCCTCTTTGACATTTTACTTTATCGAGTTCGTAAACCTTCGAACATTTCATTATAGACCGAATTCTGTTACTCCGATTGTTTATTAATTAACAAGGGTACCATAGTCTTTCTTCGATAATTTTTTTTCAGAGTGAATCATAACTGATTTTATGTGAAATTAGTTCCAATGTGTGCTAGGAATTTTTCCACTTTCCACATATCAAATGTGCTGATTGACCTCAATTTTTAGAACGGGTGCCATATTTTATGCATGATTTTTTTTACTTATAAAATAAATTCTTGATTTTTGTACATACTAAGTTATACAGAAAACAACCAAAAATACGAGCAAAAGAAACCAAGTAGCGTAAACATAACGAAGTACAAAAAAGGGCTAAAACAAAACTTTGCTACACAAAGTGAAAACAAACATATGTATCCAACTTATCGGGAATTTACAGGTTTTTTCACAATTGATGCATCCCGTAGTCGAGTGTTTCCTTAGCTTTTCTCTCATTCGACATCGTTGAACCTGATCCGTTCCAAAAACCAATTTCACCATCAAGTTTTGAGATGAATGCACTGAAATCTTTCCTTCGTGAAGTCCTGCGATGAGCAAATCATCAGCTCGTTCATTTGCGCACGACATCTTCACGAAAATGCGGTTGTATTTATCGCCGTGCGTTTTTATTGGCTGCAAGAACACTCCTGGATAGTCGGCCGAATACATCGTGAAGATCAACCGATATTGTGTCATCACTTGACTGTAGATGCTAATTTGCTTGTACTTCAACGCGTTGATGGCTTGGAACATCTCTTTTCGAATTCTGAATGGCATATTGGCACGACAAAGCCTCACCGTCAATTGATCGACATGCCAATCGTGAAACGTTCTTTGATGATCGATTGGCCCATCAGGCGGAAACATGATCACAAGGTCTTCAAAATGAGCGTTCATCAATCGGAAATCGTTCAGCGAGAGGCATAGGTGAGCTTTCGACGAATGCTTGATCTTGACCCCCATTATCTTGTCATGATGAAGCACTCCTCGCGTGAATCGGTTACAGATGAGTCGTTTGTTTGCGTGGATGAAATCATAGGCTCGGCAACACGTCATTGAGAATTCGGCGATCTCTTCATGAGTGCAATGCTTCAAAATCTGGATGAGTATCATCGCAGGTAGATCGACAATTCGGTAAGCGTCAAGCGTTTGTGGGAAGACGTTTCTAAAAAAATAGCCATAAAAATGTGTTAATTTTCGAAATATGTAGATGCTAAACAAATTAATCCTTTTGTCATAAACCATAAAAAATATACTAACCTTTCAAGCTCCAATGCCTCATCGTTTCGATCAGCACACGCACGGCTTGAAGATGAGATATCGATCACGGTCGTATTACTAAAACAAACAAATAACTTTATCACCCATTGACACCTATTTACAATTAGTAGGGGGCTTGGCTATAAGGCTATACAGTCAAACCTCGACTTAACGACGTCAATTTTTGGTCCCTTGAAAGCTATTTACCTTATAAAGACGTTCGATTTAATAGATTTAATAGATTTAATAGATTTACTCGACTTAACGATGGAGAATCCCGGTCCCTTGAGAATCGTTAAATCGAGATTTGACTGTACATGTCCGTTAACTTAACTTACACATAGACTCAAGCAAAAGTTTATAAAATCTGCCGATACTAAACATCGTGCTTTTCTACCCTATAATCAACATTTTAAATGTAACATTACTGTTACATTTAAAATGTTGATTATAGGGTAGAAAATAAATAAAAACAACACAACAGTAAATAAACATACTCCATGTAATCGGCGGTGATTTCGAATGTCTCTCGACTCGCGACTGGATCGTTTCGTGCGGCCCTTCTTCGCGCACACGTCTTCGCTACCTAAACATAAAAAGTTTGTACGGTGGAAAGGCGATATTTCAAGAAAATGAACAGAAAACGATTCAAAATGAATTCTTAATAAAGTTTGGGATCAATTACAACCTGGTTCTTTATTTTTCAACGCCAAAAACGTTAGCAAAATGTTTAATCAGCTAAAACGTACAAATCTCTTAATTTAGAGTAGAGCCAATAAAACGCATGGCAATTTTTGAGCAACAACGCCGTCGAAACAATAAAAACTAAGGATCGTATGCAAAAACTAACCAAAGCGTCCCAAGAAATCACTAAAACGATGAATGAAATGAAAGGCGAATTGAAATTGTTTGCGCCAGTGATTACGGTGTTTACGCCATTAAATGGTGATTTTTTTTAGAGTGCAGAATAGAAACACAAAACAAATTCCGCTTTTTGTTCAAGTTCAAGTTTGAAGCGAAATGTGTCGTTTTCGCTTTTACCGTTTTATTTCAACACCAGCGGAAAACGCTCACTTCGCAAATCCGCTGGCGACGTTTTTCCTTCTTTCAAATGACTAAAACTACCGTAACCCATATTAAAGCCCCGCTCCCTTTTTAAAAATGAACCTAAAAGTCAGATACCGCATAGCCGAAAACCCCTGGGAGCAAAATATTGCGCGCAAAAGTTGAATACTTTGCCTTTTAACCGGGGTAGGCTAATTTCCGCAATTTTTTTGCACAACAGGGTCCTTTGTGTGTTGGATCTAATAGTAAGATTTACATATGTAGCACTAAAATGATAAGCGCCCTCTGACTGTAAGCTCAAAATAAAGTAGTTTCTAATTCACAAACTTTCTTGCTATTTTTCGGAACATTAAACTTCAGCCACTTTCTTCAACAATCTTTGTCTTTGTCAAAATTGACGTCATAATTTTCATGAATTCTAGATGAAACTCCTCTTTGTTATGCTTTTTCTGTTGAGCACATTGATTTCAAAAATTGAGGGTGAATTTTGTGGTTTCGATATGTTACGTCCGAATCTGAGGAGACGTCCATCTCCGATCGTCCGTCTCCGATCGAGAGATGGACGTCCGACTCTGAGTCGGACGTCCGTTTCGGAGGAGGATGAATCTCCTCAGATTCGGACGTCCGGATCGGAGATGGACGTCTCCTCAGATTCGGACGTAACAGATATACGTCTTGAGCCACACTTTATGAAGGTAAACCAAAAGCGAAAGTCATCATTTTAATGTAAATATCTTAAGCCTATTTGTAAGCGGGCTTTTTTTTCTTTTTCTGAGCTTGATGACACACGTTACGCATTTAGTGTTGTGGGAATAAAGCGGGCTGTCACTTGTCTTGCTGCAATTGTGACGGTGAATGAGATTATGAGTGTGGTATACATTCCAAAGTCCGCCCCCCTGTGTCCCCCTAAAAGTGTCCCACTAGAGGGACACTTTTTCGTAGATAGAATAAATATTTTCATTTAATAGAAACTTTTTTTTAATTTTCGGGGACAAAATAAACAAGTACTAGAGATAATTTTGACTAGTTATAATGCTGTTTTAAGATTCATAAAGCTATCCAAAATAAGAGACTTTATTTACAGAAAAGTGCATGAAAATCATTGTCTTTTATGGAAGTTTGAAAGGATTGACGCATCTCTGATTGTAGCAATATAATCCTCGACCACAATCGTGTTGGGAGTGACAAGATTTCTGAAAAAGAGAGAAATTCTTTTGATTCAAATTTTTGCCAATACTAGATTTGAATAATGGATTTTCAGAGAAACCAATAGATCTGAAAAGAGTCAAAATGCTAATTTTCAAATGTTTTTGCCAAAAAAGCTGAACATTTTTGCCGGTAGCCAAGTAATTTGGTTCGTAGGGTATTTGTGAATTTAAAGTTAAAGAAAGTCAGCCAAAAGTCTTTTGATTAAAATCTTTGTAAATCTTGGTTTGGCTTAGGAAATGTTTACGGTAAAGTTTTCACGATATTGTCCGTCATTAATGCAAAGATTTGCAAGTTTTCCACCTTACCCCAGCAAATTCCTCATCGGCTGCCTCAATGGAGATGAAGGCGAAAAGCAAGACGAGAAGCACGAACAAGTATTTCATTTCGTTTGTAATGGAACAAATAATTTGTGTCCGCTGATGAAAATGGCTGCTTTATAAACAGGCAAATTTCGAACTAGTCCTTGTCCTAATCTTTTGTTTTTTGTTTGTTTGGCAGACAAGTTGAAGAGAAAAAACGGTCGGCTGGGACCAAAGGAAAACGACAAATAACAAATATCAAATAAACCACAATTTTTGAGAAAACTTTTGTTTGACTGTTTTCTCTGCACACAAGCTTACTGCGTTGCAAAAATAATGGTAAAACATTCTTTATCAAATTAACTCTTTGAAAGTGCTGAAGTTTAACCCATAAATTTTCTCAATTTGAGATTGAGGCGATTTTTCAGAAATTATTTTAAATCTGACAAGTGCAGCATTTTCTTATCTTTGTTAAAAACTGTACACAACAACGATAAATTTTGAACTCTGTTCACGGTGTAAAAAAAGAGAACAACTCTGCGATTCGGCTCCATATTATTTCCCATTATTTCAATACAATTCATGCTTGTTAGTTTCTTCTTTTCTTTCAACCTAAGCAATGAGAAAGTAAAACAAAACTTTTGCCCTGTAAAACTAATTCCCGATCAGCCTCCTGATCGAATGCACAAAATTTTTGGTGGAGCCGAAGCACCCGAGGAAGCGTATCGTATTCTTTTCTTTGTCCTAACTGAAGTAGAGTGTGTTCCTCTCGAGTCATGCGTTTCCTAAAAGGCACCTCTTTGAGGAAGCTACCGTAGTCACACTTCCAATTTTCATTCAGTTAGCCCTATTTTTGTATTATTCGATGCGGAATTAAATTAAAAGGCTCAGTCAATGATTCCATCGGATCGGCTGATCGAATGTAAACTAACGGTTTGACTACGGTAATTTTCTCAAATCGGTGCCTTTTAGAAAACGCGTTCCTCGAGAGGAACACTCTAAACTGAAGGGGATGTTGAGTTGCGGAAAATTTAAACAAATAACGATTGACACGTTTCTTTTTGTGCGCAAAATACTATAAAGTTATTTAGTCTAGCACGCGCACACTGTTCTGATAGCCCAGGAAACATTTACCACTTTGTGCAGGCCAGGCCACCTGTTGTAATGGATACAAATATTATCTGAAACTAATCAAAAATCATAGTTTAGATGATTCTTGTATCGACCAGTTTCAACAAGTTTTACTCGATCTCACTCCACAGCTGTCATTTTGACTGAAAGGAGTATTACCGTAGTTTTCCGAATTCAAAATCACCCACTTTTTAAAAAACGTTTTACTAATAGTAATATTCACCATTTTTTCGTCATCAATTTCTCAATTTCATCAGCAATTCGTTTGTCTTTGTCAATTCGCGAAGTTGCTCAACAGCCTAAATACAAAAAACACCTGCTTTTCATTCGCAAAGATTGTACCTCTTTCGCAGCTATACGAATTGCTGCAAGCTGCCCTTTTAGTAAGCTAGCCTCTCCGTCTCGAATTCTTTGATATTCCGTAGAGATTAAGATAGAAAAGATCTGAAGGAGAATTAAAAACGTCTGAAAATTTAAACAAACCTCTCCAAGATATCCACGTCCAAAGTGAGTAACTTCTTTCTTCTGAATTAAGTTTATAAAGCGTTAAAGCCATTAAAACTAACCCCCATTTGTAGTGCAAGCCAGGATGGGAGATTCAATCGATGAATAAGGTCGTGTGATGGAGTGGGCATTGTGGAAAGTCTTTTCAATAAGTCGAGAATCGACAAACGAGCATTGTTATTTGTGAGAGGAGATGAGAACAAGGAGATTATTGATCGAAATCCTCCCCTAAACAAAAAAAATATTAAAATTTACACTCTTAATTTTTGGCTTTAATCCGCCGACGAGAACCCTACGAGAGAAAATCTTCGCCAAAACCACTCACCTGCTTGTAATCAATGCATAATCGTTCGGCTCACAACATCCATATCGCACCACATCTAACAGAAATAGGAGCTCTTCCTAAATAAACGAATAACCAAAAAGAATTAAAAACTATATAAACCTTGTGATGCTGTGTGGAACTGGAAAACAACATGCTCGCTAAATCAGGAATCTAAAAACCATCTTCTTTAAGAAACACCTAAAATAGCCAACCGAATCAAAAGGCATTTTGTGGAAGCAATTTTTCGTGAGGAAGCTCATCACAGCCGGATAAACAACCGATTCGGCATTTAGCGGCTCGCGCAAAGTATTGAGAAATTACTCAAACGAAATTTTGAAAGAGATATGGCGGTGCTAATACACTTAGGGGCATTCAAGCTGTTTAATTCATTTTCTTTTTTTCCATTCTTGTAACATTCTACTGTTAGTCCAACCGTGGCATAAGGTAACATGTGCGCGCGTATTGATCATTAAAGATTTAACAAAACTCTTTATCTCACTCACTATCAGTTTTGTGAAATTTCTAATTTAGGGAGATATCAATCGTGCACATGTTATCTAATGCCAAGGTCGGGCTAACAGTAAGAATGTTACCTAGAATGACAGCTATTTTTCACACGGTTTAGAGAAAGAAAAAAGGGTTAAACAGCTTAAATGCAATTTTGACCACCTGAATGCATTAGCACCAAATTGGCAATAATTTCAGACATATAGGCATATTCAGACATTACAAGAGTTAACATTTGAACTAACCGTTTGAGACAAGTTGCGCTTCTGTTTCAACACTATTCTTGAAGAGACGAAGAAGAAAAACCAAAATAGGGCGTTGATCAAACGTCTCAATTGTCAACGTGTTGAGAAGCGAAAGATACCTAAAAATACAATGTAGCCAAGATAACATGGTGAAATACCTTTGCAGAACATAATAGGCGGCTTTTCTTGTTGTTTCATTCCGACTCGACGTACAGCTGAAGGCTAATGAAAGAGCGCCCATTTCGGTAAATTCTCGCAATGGCAACTAAAATAATGCTTAAAATTTTATATTGTTTTAAGTTACCTCAGACCCATGGCCCATCACGCTTGCAAGTAGTCGCAGCACAAATCGCTCATCATAGATCGTATCTGATACCCAAGAGAGCTAAAATTTTACAGTAAAAAATCCAATGTGCAAAAATATCTCGATAAGCTCGTATCAAAAAAAGGATCAAGAGGAAAGGCTGCGGAATTCTTATTTGAGAACTTTTGAAAATAAGTGAAAGACGTACATTCAAGCGAAAATTGCAGCGTTTTTCCGCTGTAAGAGACAATAAAAATGGGCACTTGTGCATAAATCAGACTTACTTTAGCTCATTTAGCTAGGGAAAAATTTGACAAAGAAAAACAATAATTAATTGAGCAACGAATCAACTTTGAAAGCATGGGAAAATCAGCCAGCTGTTTAAACCAAATCAAAAATCGATATCGTCCTCAAACGCATCGTCAAGCGGACAACTAAAATGAATGGAAATTTTTGAAGAAGATGATTAAGCTGTAGAGTTTTGAAATAACAAACCCCGTTCTTATTGGCTTCTGATGCGTCTTCTGAGGTGATTTTCGAATAACATTATCCGAGCACAATATCCCTTGATATGCAAACTCCATCTCGTCCGTGATCTTTGCTAAAATCAAGCAAAAATTAATCTTTCTTTGTGTGACTTTAGAATCGATTTTGAAAATTCTATACATGAAAAGAATCCTGAAGTCGCGCGAGAAGTCGTATGAGAAAGTTTAGGCGAAGGATTGTTCTCGGAAGATGAGATCCAACTAAAATAACATACACGTTAGTAATTAATTAACGAAATAGAGAAAGCTACCTGCTTGATTCCCTGAACTTCCCGAAAGACGAAGTGCTTTGTAAACGAAGAAGTGATTTCAAGCGAAGGTCATTGACTGACGTAAGCGGCATCCTTGAAAGTTGAGTTGCTAAAACAGAAGATTTATTCAAAATTTATTAAAAAATACCTTTTGAAGTCCTTGTCCCTGACTGCAACTGATTTGCATGCTTCTAAATTATAAAACGTAGACTCAATAGGTGCATTTGCATACTTGAAAGTTCAGCACCCATTCTGCATCTTCGTCATCGTCAGAATCGCTGCAAGTTGCACCTAAATTAGATGCCTTAGCGTATTAGAAGACCCTATCCGTACAAGATGCAAGATGTAAATTGTGTTTAAGAAACTAACCAGTAGTTAAAAATAAATTATCCTCGCTACCCCACCAAGAGCAAAGATCCAATAGCTCGTTCATTAGATTTGTCTCACCGAGAGCTTCATCATCACATTTACTAAAATGGAAAATTGGAGTGGAATTTTGTTGAGACTATTAGAATTATGCATCAAAACCAACAGGCCTGTAGCACCAAGAAGTGACCCACAAAGACGGTCCAAGTTTTGGCTTATAAATGGCAGAAAACTCACAATGATTCAGCAAGTTCTTTCCAATGTTGAGAATCGGGTTCATCTCCTTTCCCGAGATGTCGTTTGATGTACTCATGAGTTGACGTCTCAGCATATGGTTTTGTTGGCTTGAGAAAGTGCACTTTCTAAAGATTATATTGTGGTTACTTCTTTGATCGAGGAAATCACTTATCAATTTCATATCAACATCCCTAGTTTTCACAATGGCCCCAATGAAGGATGCAGTTAAATTCCCTATCTTGATTGATGAGTTGCATTTAGACTTCTTTTACAAAAGTGCTGTACCAAGTAAAATATTTAAATAAAAATAAATTCGACCTGCATCATTGCCATAAGTTTCACCTTGCTTATTTTCTTCGATTTGGTGGCACTTTCGGGAAGTGGTGAACGGGAAGACACTCGAATCATTTTCAAGTTAATACCTAAAAGAAAGACAATTTATTATAAAGCATTATGAGACTGACCTAATGAACATGATTTAGATGATCACAGCTGGTTTAAATCGGAAATATCTGAAAAAAACATGTTCCATCTTGTTGAAAAAACACTGAAAGGAGTAAAAATAGATTGTAGACAGCTAGTGTTCTAGAAAAGGTTGATAAGTATTTACAATAACTTTGGTATTTACAGTGTCAACACATAAAACGAGGTGATTTTTAAAATCCGAGGCCACTGTTCAGGTCACGGATCGCGCAATCGCAATAGCTGGTGAGGTCGTCTAAGGTCGTGGCCCAAAGGGGGAAGACGAGAGTGGAAAGAGGGGGATACCCGAGGAAAAGAGGGGGTGTGACTGTGTGAGTGACAGGACAGAACTCATAGGAAATGTACAATGATTTTTAATAATTTTAGGGCGTAGAATCGAAATTTTGACATATCAGAGCGTGTGGAACCAATTTGAAAGACAAAACGGCTAGATCAAATTACAGAAAATTGTCGATTTTTCTCTTTGTATAACTCCATCCGTTCGCTTCCACAAGCTCTGATATGCCAAAATTTCGATTCTACGCCCTAAAATTACCTAGAAAAACAACTTTTGGAATAGAAATTGGTTAATATTAGCTTTTTAGAGCTTTTTTAAAACGCGAAAAAAGGTGCGCTAATGGGCAAGGTGCGGAAAAAAAAGGTGCGCAAATGTCCGGGTGCGCAAAAAAAAGGTCGCATTTGTCCCACTCCCACAAACAGTCAAGGGATTTCCGTTGATTAAATACTTTTATTCTAATAATTTGATTCAATTTAGGCAAAATGGCAAATGAAAGGAATAAAATGGTCAATGAAGGTGTGGCGAATTTCCACTACTCTGCAGTTAGTCAAAATTCAATACACAAGTTAAAATTCAAAGTTGATGGATAAACTACCGTAATCAGCCACTAGACGATATTCAGTGGTCCGTTTGTCGTAGCTTGTGTACTTAAAAACCCATTATTTAAGCTTTATTTTGAGTCAGTTGTGTGCTCCCTTTTCTATTCATCCCTTTTTTCACACGCAACTGTTGAAGTAATTGTGATCGTGCCAGATTGCTCCTGTTTGAGCGAAGTTTGCCCTAATAAGGGGAAGTTTTGATAAATTGTGCGTTTTCAAGACATTTACCATTGAACCACACCGAGACACGGTCTCACAAGAAATTATAAAGATCAAAGTATAAATATATTTATCTTACAGAAGGGTCTTTTTGTGAAATTCTCTATCACAAAAATGATCGGTTATCGAAAGATTTCCAACAATGAGACAACAACGATTGATAGAAATTGGGGGTTTAATGGGAGAATTTATGACTTCATCTACTGGTTTTTATGTGCTTTCTTTATGATTGTTTTTAATTTCATAAATATTGCATAAAATAAGTGTTGTGAAAAGAATTAGACTGAAGTTGTAGATGTATATGTCGCAGCCGCTCGTGATTTTCAGCCGCTAGTGATTGAGCCGCTTATTATATGTTTGCAATAAATTGTTGAAAAGTGAATAAAACTTGCAATTCATAAAGCAAAAATATTAAGCAAAATTTACTTTCATTTAGATGACATAATTTTTCGAATTTGACAACAGAAGTTACCTCCCGGGGTGTTAAAATATTTGGTCCTATTAACCTAACTTTTTTATTTGCATGTGAGATAAATCTGCATTGTATTCCAAATGTTTCATTAAAAAAACTTTCAATCACGATCGGCTAGCCGATCGTGATTGACTCACTAGCGGCTAGCCGATCGTGATTGACTCACTAGCGACTAGCCGATCGTGATTGACTCACTAGCGACTAGCCGATAGTGATTCAATCACTAGCGGCTGAAAATCACGAGCGGCTGCGACATATAGATAGTAGACGTGTGCATTCCGTTTATTTCGGATCGAAATCTCAAATTTTATTAAAAAGAAACGTTAAGGACGGCCTTGTTAAGTATCGATAACATTTTTAGAGTACTTTTTTGAAGATTTTTTGTTGAATTTTTGGTATCAAAATGAAGCTGATAACCTAGACTTTCTGATAGAAAAAGTTTCAAATTGCTAGCAACATTCAATGCGGTGATATGACTGATCAAAAGCCACATTAAGCCTCGTTAACAAGTCTAGTTATCAATCAATTTCTGATCGATCTGATGCTACGATAATGGCAGGCTTGAACTTGAGCTTGAGTTTGAGCTTGAGCTCAAGAGATAGTTGTTTCTGTCGTAAATTTTGCAAATCATAAATGCCCATACGTTTTCGATAACATTCAAGTCAGGAGAACACGAGAGAAGAGGGATTCTCTTGCGTTGCAACAATTTCTGCAACCATTCAGGGGTGCAGATATCATTATGTAAAGTAGTGTAGCTCACATCAATGCCAGCTTCTCTCAAGTTTATTCTTTTCTAATAAAACTCTCGGCTTGTTTTTATCTTTAGAGCTTTAAGAATTTCAAGTTCATAAAGGGACGCAACTAGTTCCCAAAATCCCCCAAATATAATAGAAAAGAGAAGTTTGGTGGGCTGAGGTCCAATTGAGGATGGGTGACTCTCCCACCCACGTTGGGACTCTCGCTCGTTTTCCCTCTTTTCAGTCGCTTCACTCACTGCTTTCTGCCCCCTCTTTTCCCTCTGAAGCTATTTCATCTCAAAAAAGACCCTCAGTCTTTTCCGTTTTTTTTGTTATGCCATCCATCGATTCCCCTCTTTTCCCTCTGAAGCTTTCTCCTCTTTTCATCGGCTTTTTTTTTCAAAGAAGCCACTCCGTCACACAAATATACAAGAAAAAGATAATGCTTAAGTAGATGAAGTAAATAAAATTGATGATTGAAGATTAATGATTGAATATTGATGCTTTTCTTTTAGCAGCTTTTCTTTTTCCATTCCTTTCTTAACTTACACAAATTTTGATGTTAAAAACTGTTTTCGTTAACCGTTATATTGTACTTGTTTTGTTAATCGTTATATTGTAATAATATAATCGTTATATTGTACTTGTTTTGTTATTTATATGTACTTTAGGGGGGTGGAACAAATGCTACCTTTTTTTTTGCGCACCTGGACATTTGCGCACCTTTTTTTTGCTGGAAAAGGCCTTAGGAAAGGTTATAGAGCTTCGAAAATATTCCCATATAAGGGAATCGTATGCGTAGATTCCGAATTTCGACAAATCAGACCTCGCTGACACGTCAAATTTGGGCTAAAAGGCGCAAAAACCACGCAACTTAACGCTTTTCCGCAGTTTTTGCCTTTTAGCCCAAATTTGACGTGTCAGCGAGGTCTGATTTGTCGAAATTCGGAATCTACGCATACGATTCCCTTGTATGGAAAAATTTTCGACGCTCTACGGCCTTGCCTAAGGCCTTTTCCAGCAAAAAAAAAAGTGCGCAAAAAAAAGGTCGCATTTGTCCCATCCCCGTACTTTAGTTTTGTTTTTGTTTATTATTTGCTGCTATTTAGGCATAGTTAATTGTAAAATGAGAATTTAGATTTAAATCACAAAAAAAAAGAAAAAGTCACGTGCATCAAAAGAATCGTGATCAATTTCCCTTTCGCTTTAACGAATCCATTTCTTTTCTAATCTTTGCTTCATTTAAAAGGGTGCCCTTTTGGGTGTTTTTTGTACAGTCTCGGTATCCTTTCTCTTCTTTTCCATCTGTTTTTTGGTAGGGAAATTCGTAAACCAAAAAAGGAGGTCAGTTGCCTGTTTTTTTTATTTCTTTTGAAGATTTTCTCTCACTTAATCCCGGCTACAATTGATTGTTTCTCATTTTCCCTTTTTTTTCTGAATCTTTTATCACTTTCTTTTGCTTCTTTGGTAAAAGATTTGTTTTGTGCATATTCGGCAAGGCATTCAGCTTTCAGCTTTCAACGATTTTACTCAGTTTAAATAAAACAACATTATTTTTAAAAAAAGCTTTTTAAACAGCTTTTAAACAGCTTTTAAACAGCTTTTAAACTGTTTTAAACAGCTTTTTAAATGAAAGTTTATTCTATAAGTTCCTTGAAAGGTTTGCGCTTTTTTCAATCAATTTTCTGTTTGTTTTCAAACACGTAACAACTCATCCACTTTCCCCAGTTATTATTGAAGATTAGTGCTATTATTATTCGCGTTTCGGATTTAGATGGATTACACGGTGTCCTCGACGGACACATTGGAGAGGATTGCAGCCGCACATGATTGCACAGTGGGAGAGTTGATGAAATTGAATCGAATGGCCAGCCGAATGGTGAGTGCTCAATGTGGGGGTGGAGAGCTGAAATCTAGCCATATATGTAACTCAATATTAAGGATGTAAAGTTAAATTACCGTATTTCTTCGAATAGAAGACCGGGTAAAGAGTATCATCGCGTACTCCTGCGTAGCAGCCCTTTTTAAAATTTCTTTTCTGCATAAAAGCTTTCAATCAAGTGCTATAGAGCTGGAAAATGGCTCAAAAATCTGTTAGCTCATGTGGTATTTTTGAGTCACTTTCCAGCTCTATAGCCTTGAAAGCTTTTTGCAGAAAAGAAATTTTAAAAAGGGCTGCTACGCAGGAGTACGCGATGATACTCTTTACCCGGTCTTCTATTCGAAGAAATACGGTAGTGCCAAATTATTGTCGTCGAATAGTTGAAAAATCAAATATCTAAAAAAAAATCAAACTTCCGATAGCCTAAACTGATCCTTAAAATGCTTAAACCAAAAAAAAACCAAAAAAAATGTAAGCCACTCAATTTTTCACCCTAATTATTTAAAGCTTTTCAAATTTTCATTGTCAATGCCGAGAAATCTTCAGAATCTTTTTTAAAAGAGAAGAATCTTCTCATTCTTTTAAATCTTCTCATTCTTTTTCATTCTTTTCCCTAAAAACCTTTTTTTTCCATCTTTTCAATAGCGTTTTTTCGTTTTTTCCGAAGTTCTTGAACAAAAAGCGAAATTTTCGGCTTTTTTTTCTCTTTTCCGTTCTGAAAAGGCGAAGGAGTCCCATTAGAAAACGAATTCTCGCAAAGCAAACGAGGAAAAGATTTATTTCTATTTCTTTTCAAAAAACAACTAGAAATTTTTATGTAAATATCATAAAAGCTTGTCAAAAGCGTACTAGTTTTCCGTCGAAAAAGGGCTCTCTATTGATAGTTGATTCTTTCTCGTCCCATTTTTCACCCCAACAACAGAATATTGATTGATTTTTTGGCTTACCACATCCTCCTTACATCTTGCTCAACTTTGAGCTAAACAATAGCAAATATTTGAAACTAGAAATTTAAAAGTTTGAGCTAACTTTAAGTAAACTTTGAACTAACTTTGAACTAACTTTAAGTAAACTTTAAGCTAACTTTAAGTAAACCTTAAGTAATCTTTAAGTAATCTTTAAGTAAACTTTAAGCTAACTTTAAGTAATCTTTAAGTAAACTTTAAGTAAACCTTAAGTAATCTTTAAGCTAACTTTAAGCTAACTTTAAGTTATCTTTAAGTAATCTTTAAGTAAACTTTAAACTAACTTTAAGTAAACCTTAAGTAAACCTTAAGTAAACTTTGAACTGACTTTGAACTAACTTTAAGTAAACTTTAAGTAAACTTTGAACTAACTTTAAGTAATCTTTAAGTAATCTTTAAGTAAACTTTAAGTAAACTTTAAGCTAACTTTAAGTAAACCTTAAGTAAACTTTGAACTAAATTTAAGCAATCTTTAAGTAAACTTTGAACTAACTTTGAACTAACTTTAAGTAAACCTTAAGTAAACTTTAAAAGAACTTCAAGTAAACTTTAAGTTTCTAAGATTTAAAATAGAATTTTCTCTGTTTATCCTTTAGTTAAAACTCTTTATCGTTGAAAGAACAAGAATTGAAGAAAACTTTGTATAGATGAACAATTGCTTTCAAGATAATTTTAGAAAGAATTGTAGAAAGTCGTTGATTTATTTTTTAGAAAAGAATTTGAAATTCAGGTTTTCCCAGGACAAAAGATTGTTGTACCGAATCCAATGTCGGATGATGTCTTCGATTCGATTCAAAGTGGAACCCATTTACCAGTCGGCATCTCTGGAGCACAGGCTGCAGGTGGTTCGATAAGCTTTCAGAGCTTTCAGAGCAAAGCTTTCAGTTTACATTTTTAAAAGTTTCCAAAGTTTAGGATTCTAATGGTAAGTCAATGGTAAGCTGACCAATTTCAGTGACACAATAGAATACCGTTTTGCTTAATACAATAAAGATTGTTAGTTGTCTATTATATGATGATAGGAATGATCGTTTGATTGTATGATGATCGTATGATGATCGTATAATGATGATCGTATAATGATCGTATAATGATGATGATCGTATAATGATGATCGTATGATGATGACCAGCATGATCTATTCATAATTTCAGCTGATGGAATTCGAAAGGGTCCAGGCGGGGCAATTCCATCAACACATCGAGGGAATCTCTTGAAAACGCAAAGTGCTCCCGTTAAAACGAATTCCCTCGATGAACAAGTGGACAGCGATTGTTTACAACGGTTTCTCAAAATCAAGGTTTGAATATTCTGAACTGGAAAGAAGCTCTAGCCCTTTTTCTAGCCAAATTCTAGAAAGAAATAGAAAAGAGATTTGTGTTTGTCGTCTCTTCCGTAGTTTCCAGGTATTTTGAACAGCTCGTCACACTTTGAAAGCCTATAACTTTTTCCAGAGACAATATTATTAATAACTTTTTATATCATTGTACAGAGAATATTTCAGGCTTTCAAATGATACCAAATTGAGCTTGATTGGCAAACCGAGTCCAAGAAAATCAGAGCCAAATCTGCAAATGAGGCCTAACCAACTCAGGTGTTGTGTCGCCTGAGAATAAAAAAGCCAATTAAGCTCAATTTGGTATCATTTGAAAGCCTAAAATATTCTCTGTAAAATGATATAAAAAGTTATTAATAATATTGTCTCTGGAAAAAGTTATAGGCTTTCAAAGTGTGACGAGCCGTTCAAAATACCCTGGAAACTACGGAAGAGCCTGTTTGTCTTTGTTCACTCCATGTTTATTCTCTAATCACAATACAAAGCTTAAAAAACCAGTATTGTAGCATAATTTTAGGTAAAACAGCTAACGGAATCGGATGGAACGGTGACAGGAACTCTGCTGGTGACACCAAATTGTTTGATGTTTGATCCGGATGTCTCGCATCCATTGGTCAGAGAGAATGGCCCAGATCTTTATGGAATGGTTGCAAAGTGAGGAACAACTTTAAACTTTAAATCTTTCAACATCGTATTTAGTATGGAAGATATCATGGCCGTTTCGGTTTACAAAGATGTTGGCGCGTTGATGGGTGATAAATCCGATAAAAGAAGAGACATTTTTCGGCCTGATCTATCGAAAACATCATTAGAAAATGAGGTGAGCTAAAAAAAATGCTATCAATTGCTTTTAAAAGCTATCAATTGTAATTATTATAATCAATTACAAATTACCGTATTTTCTCTAATAGTAGTGCACCGTGAGCGTCGTCTAAATTGCTCGAAATCTCGAGAACCGTTTATCAGAACCTATTGATGTGGGGTCGGAAAATGTAGCTGACGATGAGATCTAGTGGGGGTTAGAGTGTTGAGCTTTTGGGAAAAATTGGAAACCGTAAAATAGGCCAACGTTTCAAGACCAAAGAGTTGCAATCTATCAGAATAACTAAAGGAGGAGAATTTGCAAAAATACGTTTACGTTCTCGCCACGTTGAAACACGGCATTTCGTCCGATCTGCTAAGGTAAGCAGCTCGGTTGGTCTGAGTTGCGTTTCGGTTTCGATTGAGCTCGGTTGGTTGCTGGTTCGGAGTTATCCCAAGCGCAGAGCAATGAAACGCACCGTGCCCGTCAAATTAAACTACGGGTTGGCTTGCTGCATAAACTGCAGCCATTAAAAACGCTTACCGTATTTTCTCTAATAGTAATGCACCCTGATCATCGTCTAAATTGCTCGAAATCTCGAGAACCGCTTATCAGAACCTATTGATGTGGGGTCGGAAAATGTAGCTGACGATCAGATCTTGACGAGGATTAGAGTGTTGAGCTTCTGCAAAAGCTTGGAAACCATAAAATAGTCACCAACTCGGCTCCCCGGGGTGCACTACTATTAGAGAAAATACGGTATCTATCAATTTCTAGCAATCTCTGGAAAGTGACAGTCAATCGTGTTTGGAGAAGAGCTTGGAAAAGGTTTATTGAATAATTCTTATTGAAAAATGTATTGAAAAAGAAATTTAGTCGGATAGTCGTCAAGAAGATAAAGAAACACAACCAGGTAAAGCATTTAAGCTCTTCTACATTATCAAATTTAAACCTTTAGTTACTTTTTCTACATCATTAGAAGGATCTGATATCGAGAATGGAAGCTACGAATCAGCTTCCGATGAATTTGTGAGTGTTACACAATAGAAAAAGAAATCTGCGAAGTTTAGGCTCCTCGTTCGCCGAGAATCAGCACAGAAATGCAACTTCCATCGATTACTGAAGAACGAGGAGGTGGTGGTGGGAAAGAGTCGCCACAGGTTTGCTAGAAAAACTTATTTCTGTTTTCTATTCGGATTCTGGGAGCTATTTTCAGCATTTTCAACCAGCTAGTACTAGTTAGATCATTTCTTCGCCCTGCTGGCTAGCTGTGATTCATTCAGCTGAATGAATCACAGCTAGATCACGCCTGAAAAGTCATTTGACAGATTTTGATTTCAGATTCGCATTTCTCATATTCAAATCTATAAAGTGCGCTAGGTATCCATCTTGAGCATCTTGAGTTCATCTTGAGTTCATCTTGAGCTCATCTTGAGCTCATCTTGAGCATCTTGAGCTCATCTTGAGTTCATCTTGAGCTCAAGCTCAAAGCTCATCTTAAGTTCGTGCTTTAGTTAGTAACAAAAATTCAAATAAAGTAATTCTATCGAAAAGGTGGATGCCATGACTAAAAACCGTTGATCACATAAACTCTTGCATCTCAGCCGGAAATTAAGCGATCGTTTTTAAATTTTGGTTGTATTATATGCTAGTATGATGAGCAAAATTTTCAGCCTAATCCGTTTTTTTTGCAATATTCTAGTCAAAAAATTTGTGTACAGGAACTTTTAGGACACTCTGTTACTTTATTTCAAATCTAGAGAATATATTATAGCTTCTAGTAGCGAAAATTCTAGAGTGATTGCACGTTAATCTTTGATTTCAGATCTCCTCTCCCGTCATCGATGATCTTCCCCGAAAAAGGAGTATCAGTGATGGAGGTGAGACTTTGTGACAAATCTTTTCAATCTTTTCAATCTTTTCAAGCTTTATAAAGACATTTCAGGAGTTTTTCCGCATCGCTTTTTCTCTTTAAGGAGAAAGGGTAAATTGAGCGATAAAACGCAAATCAAATGTTGTACCTATCGGTTTCACAAAAAACAAATTTCATTGCACAGAATCTTTTGACTTCTGAACTTCTAAATAATTTCTCTAGAAAAAGAATAATCGATTCTCTTACTTAAAATTGCTTTTAGATGAATCGAAAAGATCGCTGGAAGAAGGAACAAAAGGGAAAGCCGATTTACAAGCATCGCAAAGTTTTGGGAGTAGGTGAGGATTGATAAAAAGTTGGCATTATTAATAAAAGTTGATCATTTGATCATCTAATCATCATAACTTTGGTTTAAAATTCTATTTGGATTAAGTGCTTTGTTATCGCATTGCTTTTAATAGAATCCCAGCTCCATTCTCTGCTGGCAAGTGAAAAGAATCGATAAGAATCGCTAAGAAATCGATCTAATAAAATCAATAAATAATTTAAAGGCTTAAAAAATGCAGTAATTGGGTCGTTATTAGTAATAGGATATATATATGTTGTGTCCGATTTAGATTTCCGTCCGATTTAGATTCAATCTAAATCTTATATAGATTGAACAATAATACGTCTTATATAGATGTGCTTGATAGCTTGTCTAAAAACGTTCACAGACAACCAAGAACATATATTAAGCACGTTTATTATTGTTCGATCTGTATCGGACGTCCGATATAGACTGTAATCAATAAAAGACCTTTGAAAAATGCAGAAAACTACAGAAAACGCTTAAGAACATATATTAAGCATGTTTATATTATTGTTCAATCTATACAAGACGTATTATTGTTCAATCTATATAAGATTTAGATTGAATCTAAATCGGACGTCCGATATAGACTGTAATCTAAATCGGACGTCCGCGATAAGTTCAATCTAAATCGGACGGAAATCTAAATCGGACGGAAATCTAAATCGGACGGAAATCTAAATCGGACGGAAATCTATATCGGACGGAAATCTAAATCGGACGGAAATCTAAATCGGACGGAAATCTAAGACGTATTATTGTCCAATCTATATAAGATTTAGATTGAATCTAAATCGGACACAACATATATATATATATATATATATATGTACGATAACAAAAGTGATCTCTTAATGCTCAGCTTTTACCTTTGTTCATTCACGCTTTTTATCATTCACAGCTTCACATAATATCCTTAAATATCTAAAGAAAATATGCAACTAATCAACGATTTCCCAACAGCTTCTCGGATGAAGAGTTCGGTAACTGAATGAAAACTTTCAAACGATTTCCCCAAAATCTTCATTTTCTTATTTAGCGAATGGAAATAGCATGAGAAACTGTCAAACCTAAATCCTAATTTTATTTTAAACTATTTTATTAGGTTGGTGAAAATGAAAACTGCGGGACTTTGAACTAAAATTTATTAATTAAATTATTAATTTATTAATTAAACTAAAATTTATTCAAAATAAAACCATGAATTGATTCCAAATAATTTCCATTATTATTGATGACTTCTGCCCATTTTTTAGGCAATTTGCGGTTTTGCGGGCTCCTCTTTCGTAGTAGGATTTTGGTTTGTGTGTGAGACTCAAAAATGGAGGACTGGAGATGTCAGCTGCCAGCACAGTTTGAGCAATTTCTTCAAAAGAAACCCATTTTGGTGTCAATAGAAAAGTTGTAGAGAATCAAAAATTAGGCTTATAGCCAAATTTCCAAAAAGATACACTTAGTAGTTTCGCTTAAAGTGCAAGTTTTGTGAAAATTCGTAAATTTCGCATTTCTTGAAAGCCAGCTTTTGAATCGTTCTAAAAATTTGGATATAAGCTTGATTTTTGATTCTCTACAACTTTTCCATTGACACCAAAATGGGTTTCTTTTGAAGAAAGTGCTCAAACTCAAACTGATGACAATAGGCCGCAGTTTTCAATTCACTAACTCAATATTTAATGATTATTTTTCTTTTAATTGCTCGAGAGTATTGCAAAAGTTTTAAGACTTTTAACTTGAAGACTTTTAATGAAAAAGAAGTTTTTTCGAGTCAAAATTATGAGCATTATCAGAATTAGCTAATTGTAAACGAAATTTTGATTCAATAAGCTGATAAGCAGTAAGCTGATTCTTTAGTTATGTTTCTTCTAGGGTTTTCCTCCTGGAAACCGCTTGTTAATGTCTCTTTTCTTGACTTAGTTACTGTAAAGTTTCAGTTCTTTATCTCAAAACAGTATAATAAAAAAGAAAAAAAACTCATATCTTTGATATCTTTGTTGAGTTTAACCCTGAACTTTGCAGTATCTTTGGTAAAATTTGGAAACTAGTACTACAGATTACTGATTAAGTTCCTTTTGTGACTGTCGCCGGATTTCTGACTCTATTGCTTGTTAGGTACTCTCCACAGGCAGCGCGCCGCTCCTTCGGGAAATTGGGGCGCACGCTGAGGTGAGTGAATGGCATTGATGAAAAGAAAAGATTTTGATTGCATTCACGTTGTGTTGTCCCACGTTTTGTCAAGGAGTGAAAAGAGAAATTTTCTTTCAACATTGATATCCAAAAAAATCCAAAAAAAACTCCTCAAACAATTCCTAATCAAATTCTAATTCTAATTCTAAGCTGTCTATCGCCAATGAGCATTTCGTAAGTTCCGCTGAAGTTTTTATCGGCATTTTCTTGTAAATCCAGTAGTTTTTTTCTTGAATTTTTGCATGTTTTGCGAGATCACACGAAGGAACAAAAAAAGAACGAGTATAATAGGGGGGTAGTCAAAACAGCACCATAATAGAAAACGTTCAAAACAGCGCGCCGTCAAATTTCTCAAAATCAAAAAACAGCCGGTTCAAGTTTATACCAAAAATTCCTTGCGTTCTTGGCTCATGATGGGTGAAACAGTTTTTAAAAAGTTAATATTTCAAGAAAAAAGGCACCCAAAAGTGTGTCGAGTGATACTCAGTTGGTTAACTGAATATCTTTAGGGACCCATTTTGAGTGCTCTTTATCTATGAAATATTAACTTTCTAAAAAACTGTTTCACCCATCATGTAGCCAAGAACGCAAGGAATTTTTTGATATAAAACTTGAACCGGCTTGGTTTTTTGGATTTTGAGAAATTTGATTTCTCAAAATGCGCTGTTTTGAATGTTTTCTATTATGGCGCTGTTTTGACTACCCCTGTATAATACCGTATTTCTTCGAATAGAAGACCGGGTAAAGAGTATCATCGCGTACTCCTGCGTAGCAGCCCCTTTTAAAATTTCTTTTCTGCATAAAAGCTTTCAATCAAGTGCTATAGGGCTGGAAAATGGCTCAAAAATACCACATGAGCCAACAGATTTTTGAGTCATTTTCCAGCTCTATAGCACTTGATTGAAAGCTTTTATGCAGAAAAGAAAGTTTAAAAAGGGCTGCTACGCAGGAGTACGCGATCATACTCTTTATCCGGTCTTCTATTCGAAGAAATACGGTAATTCATCGCCAAATCACTAACGTTTCAGCGAATGAACAACATTCTTGCATGATTTCATTTCGATTTGGATTTCAATTGAATTGATCACCCAATTTCCCCCCCAAAAAAAACTCTAGATCTTTGATGAAAAACCCTTTAGCAATTGTACATTTAAAAACTTGTACATTTATAAATCGAATCAATTTAGTGCCAAAGCAAAAAGCGGAGTTCAAACAATGGCAAAAGGAGCGGAAAGTGTTGCGGCGAGTGCGGCAAGAGGGACAAAAACTGTGGCACATGGAGTTGTCTCGCATACGAAGAGTGCTGCTGGTTTGTTAGAACGATTATTTATCTCGATTTATTGCTAAATTTGATAAGATTTTGTACGATTAGGAATTACTTTCATTATCGATTTAGTACTTTCGTTTTCAAGCTAGTTTATTTAGAGAGCAATAAATAGAGGAAAGGTTAATTAGAGCTAATTACCTCCTTAACAAATCACCTCCTTAACAAAGTCGATCACTAACAAAAGACGTACAAACTAACCCACTCCTTTGCCGCCTTTTCTTTTATGTCTTTCTTATTTCTGTAAGAGATACACTTTTGTGCACGTTCCATATTTTCGGCTTGAAGAATCTTGTCACCGGGAAACGGAAGTTCGTCTTTCCATCCTGAATTTAGGCTTAAAAAAAATTTTTTCCCCGAATTTACCGGAAATTTGAACGGGCGTGCTCGGGCCGGCTTCTGGTAGCGCTTTCCCATTCTCATCGGCCATTGTTCTCACCTTTAAATTCGACTTTACAACCCAAAAAATAAAATCCTACCTTGCACCATGATTTTCCGCCAACGAGAAACGCCCTTTTTCGCGCCGCGCCCTTTTTCAATGTGCCGCGAGTTATCAATACAGTGCACACTTTACCAACTCTTAAAACAACAAAGTTTTGAAAAAAAGTGTAAGAATTCAAAGAATTCAAAGAATTCAGAAGAAATTCCAATAGCTTTACAAGTTGTTTTTTATCTCTGTTCCACTAGAAGCAAAAGAAAGATTATTTATCTCTATTTATTGCTAAATTTGATAAGATTTTGTACGATTAGGAGTTTTTCTTTCGTTTTCAAGCTAGTTTATTTAGAAAGCAATAAATAGAGGAAAGGTTAACTGTTCAGAAGAAATTCCAATAGCTTTACAAGTCATTTATTGGTCTTCCAAAGGAGAGAGATCAAATCTCTCTTCTAAAAATATTCAAAAGCAATCAAACTTTTTAAAAAATTGGTTTCTTTAGACACTCTTCAAACCGGCATTCAAACATCGGCAAAAGTGGTGGGAGAAAGCGCAAAAGCGGCAGCTGACAAAGTGGCACAACTTCCCGAGAATATCGTGTCAAAAGTGGGTGTCGAGTGTTTAGATTTTGAGTTGTTTTTTTTTGGTAATACAAAGTCGAGTCAAGTTACACAAGTTACACAACCAATTCTCAGGGTTCCGAGTTGATTGCTGATGGAGTGAATGGAGTGAGCGGCTTTTTCAATGTCGAAGGACAACAAGTGAGTAGAATAGCAAAGCTTTGGAAAAGAGACAGTCGATTTTATCCAATCTGTAAATGTTGCAGGTTTAGAACTCAGGCTTGGACTTTGCATTTTTGATGATTGAAAAAGCTGCTGCAGTCTGTTTAATAAGACACGAGAAATACTGTACCTTAAACAATGCGCGTATAAAAGGACGTTCCCTATTTTTTTGTTCCTCCTGTTCTTCCCTATTTTTTTCATTTTCTCTCATTTGGTCTAGTGAAAGGTTCTCTTTTGTTTAACTTAAGGGAAAACACATTAATAATACTGATGAAATGTGGTCAGAGTTGAGTTTTAGCTGTTGGAAATGAAGAAATGTGGTCAGAGTTGAGTTTTAGCTGTTGGAAATGAAGAAATGTTAGCAGAGTTGGATTTTAGCTGTTGGAAATGAAGAAATGTGGTCAGAGTTGAGTTTTAGCTGTTGGAAATGAAGAAATGTTATCAGACTTGAGTTTTAGCTATTGAAAATGAAGAAATGTTATCAGAGTTGAGGTTTAGCCTTTAGGATAGTGTAAAAGAAGTTTTTGCACAAAAAATCTATTCATAGACTAGTGAAAACAACCGGATTTCCTCGCTTTAATCCGATTAAAGCTCTCAGCTTTGCAACAAAAAAACTTTTCCCTATTAGGGGGAAAAAGGGGACGGGACTGGTTTCAAAGAGTCACTCACGAGTGTCACTATTTTCTATATTGATCACAAAATTTCTCTAAAAACTATGAGACAATTTCTGAAGACTCGATCGAAGAGCTATGATTTGTTGAAAGCGGTTTAAAAAGTTATTCGCTTATTGGTAAACGAGAAATTTACAGGAACAACGAACGCCTCAACAAATGAAAAGAGAACAATCGCTGGCTACGCTTGAGGGATTAAAGTGAGTTTTTTTTGAATAAAACTGATTTACTGACTGATATAATGATTCTATAATATAATTTTTGATCAAATTTTATGTAGAAATGACTAAAGTAAATCGATTTATCAATAATTTATCGGGTATTAAAAGATGAAATCCGCTTCTCAGCCTTTTCAACTTTTCAGTCTCAACCTCAGCTTTGTAACATAGTTTAACAACAATTAAACGCGAGTAGACTCAGTAAAATGAATAGCTGCAATCGATTTCTTGACCCTGAAAACCCCAGGTACAAATTTACAGCTTAATTTCTTTTTATAACATCTACAAAGCAAAAGAGAAATCCCTGGGGAGGTGTACTTTTTGCGGGCGCGTAATCGCTCGCCATCTGGTATTAGGCGTCGGGTGTAGGGTCAAAGAACCGACGTTTCGCAAAATCCGGAAATTTCCCCTCCTCTTCTTTCTTTCCTTTTCCTTGTCTTTCCGATTTCTTCTTGGGCAAACAGGGCGCTGATAGCTAAGTGGTAGAGCAGGCAGAGGCAGGTAGGCCCTGGTAGGCAGAGTCCACCACTGGCCTAGGTCGAGAGTTCAATTCCCCTCGGATCCAAATTCTTTAATGATTTCTTCATTTTATTAAATTTGGTTGCATTTTTCTATAGATTTTACATTCTGTTAAACCCAGATAATTCTATTTTAGTGAGAATTGATCCCGATTTGGACCCGTTGTTTTAAGTCTTAACAAATAATGTTAACGACTTTTACATTACAGACAAAAAACAGCTGTTGCAAGAGAGCAAGCGGTGACAAAGGCAAAGGATCAACCGACGTGAGTGTTTTAAATTGGTTCTTTAGTTCTTTTTGCTTGCATTTAGCACCAGAAAGCATGAGTTCACTTCCTTTTGTAAGGCTAAGGCGATGAGATCGATGAGATCTTATTTTATTCTTATTTCATTCTTATTTTATTCTTATTTTGAGCATAATTCAAAGTATTTCTGTTGTCCTTGAAGCACTCCTTTACTTTTGTATATACAAAGGTCTTTTTTTTGTTTGGTTTACAGAAAGTTGAAACTTAAATCTTTCCTTTTTTTTCGTTGTTATGGTGAATGTCGTAGATTTCTGTGTGCAATGGAGGCGAATGAGCGAAAGGATCTCTTCGTGACTGTCGATCAACTACTGAACAAGTTTGATATTCTTTTTGGCATTTTTTGGCATCTTTTATTGCTATTAATGCACATTTTATGAATGCAGCACCAATCATTTGCATGATCACAGCTATTAGTCAACAATCAAAGTAGCAATTAACAATTTTTGATTTAAATTCAGAAATTCTCGAAGCGAATCCGAGACGGACACCTCATCGCAGTCAACCGATCTTCCCACATCTCCAATTATGCCTTTCTTCATGGCTGTGAGGTTGACGAGGAAAAGAATAAAGAAAGGTTTGTAAAGGATGAGTTTTTTTGAAAGTTAAGCTTCATTGGTTCTCCATTTGTTGCTTTCTCTATTTCCTTATGGTTATGGTTATTTCCTTATGCTCTTATGGTTATTTTCAAGAAAATCTCTCTCACTTCTTCAGCTCAATTCTTCTAATTTTTGATCGGTAGACAGAGTAGTGCTAGTGATTAAGATTAAGAGATCAGATTCGTCCCCCTTGTTCACCTCTTGTTTCCCTAAATGACAGTTGTCTGTGAAACAAGAAATCAACCATTTTTTTTTCAAAAATGACGCTTTGAATTCGTTGAACGATAAAAACAACACTTATAGGCTAAGTCTACAGGGTGTTGGGAGTGGGACAAATGTGACCTTTTTTCTTTTTGCGCACCCGATCCATTAGTGCACCTTTTTTTGTGTTTTAAAAAAGCTGTAAAAAGTTTTAAATTTGAAAAATAAAACGGGTAGGGCAAATTCCAGAAAATTGTCGACTTTTCCCTACGTATAACTCCGTCCGTTTGCTTCTACAAGCTCTAATATATTAAAATTTGGATTCTACACCCTAAAATTACCCAGAAAAACAACTTTTGGAATAGAAATTGGTTAATATTAGCTTTTTTAAGACGCGAAAAAAGGTGCGCTAATGGATCGGGTGCGCAAATGGACCGGGTGTGCAAATGGACCGGGTGCGCAAATGAACCGGGTGCGCTAATGGACCGGGTGCGCAAATGGACCGGGTGCGCTAATGGACCGGGTGCGCAAATGGACCGGGTGCGCAAAAAAAAGTTCGCATTTGTCCCACTCCCTAAGGTGTTCAATATTTATGGGGATCAGTAGATTACTAGGTTTAGAGCTCATCTTGTACAATTTTAACGCTAAAAAAGAAACACACTTATCAATATGCCCAACGTTAACAACTTTAAGTTACTTTTTGTTTTCAAAATTATTGCCTTTTGCGCTGTTGCTTACCTAGAAACGCCTGTGGAAAGCGGATAAATTGAGTTTGTCACAAACTCTCGTTAAGCTTTCTTCCGAGAGAACCGAAGTGTGATTCTAACATTTTTAATGTCCCGTAGATTTGAAAGCTGTTAAATAGTGAAGACTTTCTCATCGTTAAACAAGAACAACTGGAGTCTGACTCCTTTTGGGGAAATTTTGGTGCTCGAGTGCTCGAGTTCGATTTTTGGAATATCAAATTTCGTAAACTGTAAATAATCTAGAAATTCGAGTTTGTTCCAACGCTTTCTTAACGATTTTTTTTCATACACCAATTTTGAAAGCGCCAAACGAAATGCGAGCTCAAAAGTCCATAAATATCGAACTTTAACTACCGTAAATACTGTAATAGTACCCTACCCCCCTCGTACAGTCACGTAGTCGCAAAAGTCCTTTAGTATTTCATTCTTTTCAAAGCGCCCGTACTTTCAAAAAATGCGTCTTTGGTATCAAAAAATAGCTGAAATTCAGGGCTATTTTTTGATACCTAAGCGAGCATTGTAGCATCTACCAGTGTCGAGAAAAACTCGTCCAAAGCTAGACTACGCAATGCTCCGCACCGTCATTATGGGGGTGGGGTACTATTACAGTATTTACGGTATGTAACTTTGATTATAAGATAAATTTAGCATTGTATCTATTTTATTTTTAGAATTTGGCATGGTATTCTTTGAGAAATCAATAGCTAAAAAGAATGGTTGAAATTCTTTGTGTTAGGGCTCTCAACGATCTTTTCAAGAGCGTTAGAACGGCTGGAAAAGATGAAAAGTATGAGAAAAGGAAAGAAATAGAAGCAATTTTCTTTTCCCTTTTCCAGCCTTGAACTAGGTCCAACATATCCGCCCTTCTTCTCTCTTTTCTTTTCGCATTTTCTTTCCACGATGACCAATAACTCGTCCCTTTTACAGCTGACCCTCTCCTTTCCGCGCATTATTGACACTTTCGATCCATAAGCCCCATTCTTGCAAATTCCCCATATTTTGCTTATTTGTTTATTTGCTTATTTATATTTATTTATCATATGCTTTCTTGAATGACTGTTAAAAATTTAGCTGGTAAAAAGCACAGTGTGGATATTGTACTTGTCACTGAATAACTTATAAAGTAAAGGATGTCGACTTAAAACTTTTGCTTCACTTCACTTTTAAGTGATCCGCCAACTAGGATAGTATCAACATTTCTAATAATGACATAAAAAATTTTGTAGAAGTTACGTTTTTGCTCGAGTATCACCTCGAATCACGTAATCAAGTAATCACCTCGAATAAATTGAATATCTTTACATTTGAAGGGAATTTCCCACCAAATCACTTAAGCAGCTGAATATCTTTAAAAGGGGTCGTATATAACGTATATAAAATTTCACCCCACCGGATCTTAAAATTTTACCAACCCGGATATTGAAAGACCCCCACCCGGATACTCTACCCTTTATAAGCTACTCAGTGACAAGTACAATATCCATACTGTGCTCTTTACAGGAAAATCGACTCGACCCTCGACAAACAGCTCAATCTCATCTTATGACGAGGATTGTGCTTTTGGAAATCGGTAAAAACCTTTTAATTGAGTAAATTTTTCATTTTCTTTAGATTGAAACGCGAGTTTTGGTTCACGATTCCGAGAAATAAAGCTGATTCGATATACGGTTTTCTCTTGCAGTGGTCTCCCGAGAAATACGGACAGGTTTGTGTTTAAAGGAGGGAATGTTTCATTTAAAAAAGCTATTCAGGATACGACTCAACAACAAGCAAGCACACAGCAAGAAGATCAGCACATAAACATCGTATCGAACGATCCAATTCGCGGCTTTATCGTGCTCGATTCCGAGAGTGACGACGCTTTGTCAGGTTGATTGCTTTTCGAAAAATCTTTGTTGCTAAGATTTTGATGTGAAATTTATTTATATATGGCGACACCTTTTTTGGAAAAGTTGCTGGTGACGCCTTGAGTGAAAACTGAGCTTTTTCGAATATCCATTTGACCAAAGTATTAAGTGTTATAAAGAAAAATAAAGCCCTTAATCTTGGCATCATTTATCTAAAAAGAACTTCCCGATTGGAATTATACAACTCATTTTACAAGCTTTCGAATGAGCTCAAGTCGGCCTCTCTCTCGGCGATCTGCCATTTTTGCACTTTTCTTAATAAAAAAATTGTTAAAAAGTTTTCTTGATATTTATTTTTGTGAGAAAATAACATTTAATAACAATAAGAAGAACAGCAAACTCTTTTGTCAAACTTTCATAGCTAAAATTGGGGTTTTTTGGGTGGAAACTTCGCAAAAAAGGGAAAATTGAGCTTTTTCGAATATCTGCTTGACAAGGAGATCTTGCTGTTAAGCTTTTATAAGCTTCTCTAGCGTTATATTTTTGTTGAATAGTACTTTTAAAGTAAAATACCACGAGTTTGATTGAAGGAATCTCCTTTAGATGAAAATATTGTGTGTCAAAAAGTGCGAAAAATGGCATTGCGCCGAAGAGAGGCCGACTTGAGCTCATTCGAGAGTTTGTAAAATGAGTTGTATGATTCCAATCGGGAAGTTCTTTGTAGATAAATGATGCCAAGGTTAAGGGCTTTATGTTTCTATATATCACTTGGCACTTCGATAATAAGTCAGGCGTTTGGCAGCAACTTTTCTAAAAAAGGTGTCGCCATAATTCGAAACTGAAAAATCTTTGTTGTCAAGATTTTGGTGTGAAATTTTTGTACAACAGAAGTGCTTTCACACTTTCGAAAGTATTATAGTATCATTATAATATAAAGTAGTATTATAGTATAAAGTATCATTTATAGCATAACAATGTACAGCCAGAGTGAATCGTTTGTGAAAATTGTTTTTGTGTTTGTTTGTCATCAAAAAAAATGGTACTTTGGTGGTTAGGAGGGGCCACTTTATCCTGGCTTAGTTGAATTTAATGTTTTGAGTGATAGTATTGATACCTTTTATCTACCTATTCTAGAGTAATCAAATATAATCATATGCCTTCACTTTTAGAGCATTTACAACATGTTTCAACTTTCAGATTGCCGCTTTTATTTGATTTTCAAGTGTCAACAGCTTTGAGGTAGCGTTTAGTGGTTAAAGTACGTGGGAATTAAACTAGAATTGTCAAAAGCCTGCTAAAATAGTCGCCAATCTATTAAGCATATTTGATTACCGTAGAATAGTTAAGGAGAATTAATACAACCACTCAAAACATTAGATCCAACTAAGGCAGGATAAAAGTGTTCCCTTCCAAACCACCAAAGTACCCAAAGTAAATCTATACCTAGGTAAAGTACTTTAATTTAAAGCATACTATACAAGAAACTTTGTAACAAAAGCCATCTAATTCATCTAATTCCTCTAATCCATCCATGAAATAATTTTCCGGAAAATCATTGTATTCGATTTTCGAGAATTTTCGGGAAATCTCTTTAAAAGTGTTTTAACGATCTTTTCCTCTTTTCCCCAATTCATCCCTTTTTTTTGGTTCAACGATTTTGTAGTGTCATCCTGTGATCATAATTCTCTCTTGATCACTTTCGTCGGGGGCATCTCTAGCAAAAAAAGAGAATTCTTTTTGAATTTCGGAAATCTTTTTGCTCTGATCTCATCCTAAGAAAACATCACGTGCTATCTGCAGATATCGATGAAAACCTTTTTTCGTTCAAAAGTTGCACAACTTTTTGAACTTTTGTTATTGTTTTAGTTTGCTTTCTTGAACTCTTTTAAACATTTATAGAAACAAACCGGTACTAGGAGTATTTTTGACAAAAGTTAACGACCATTTGCAGTCCACGAGGAGATCTCATTTAAAACACTGACAATAAAATCAATTTAATCATTAGAAATGTTGTTGAAATAATAAGTAAAGAAATTGAATGATTAGAAATTGAAATGAAATAATAAATAGAGCTATGTGAGCAAAGAGTGACGATTAGGTCGAGCGTATTCACTGGACTACGTTTCTAGGTTTCCTAAACAATTCCTAACGTAATCTTTTTACAAAAACGTCAAGAATCTCAGTCAAGAATCTCGGTGAAGAATCCAGCCAAGTAACTCTTACTGGATCAGCAAAAACCTACAGAATCATCAGCTTACACAGCTACCAATAAGTACTATAAGCTGCAGTACCGGTTTGGTTACATTGTTCAACATTGAAGGATCCTAAGCTCTTGGCCAAGTACTGTTGTAATGTAGTAATGTAGCCAGTACGCCAGTACTAGCCAGTACTGTAGTACTGTAAGCCTAGTACCAGATTTTACAGTAAACCCTCAATCTTGCAACTCTTTCTTGGTCCCTGCAAATATCTAACAAAACCCCAAACCCGTATTTGATCTTTACGAGGAAATTCAGCAAGACTGAACCCCTGAAACCCTATCAAACCCCCAGAATTCGGGTTTTCTGGGTTTTTTCTCTTTTCAATCTTTCTTTCAATGGAAAAATTGAACTTTGTGTTTATTCATCGAATTTCAAAACATTGATGAAACAGCTAATTGTATTTATTATTTAAAATTCTCACTTAAAAAAACAGATTTCTCTTTGAAAGCTGTTCAAACTGTTCAAACTGTTCCACTCCATTTAGAAATTCGAAATTAATCAAAAAAAATTCCATTTTCATCGAATGTTTGCATTGCTTTGGTGGAGTCAGAGAATTTTTTTCGAAACATTTTTTCAAGAAAAATTTCAATCAAGAGAAACAAAGGGAAAATTTCGAAAGACTTCCTCGATTGAGGGTTTTTTTTATAAACAATGTTCCTTTTTCTGTCATATTGGGCATGGTAAACATCCGCCGTCCAGAATTGAAATTTTGTTGGGCAATCATCATTTTCAGTCACATGCACCCCCAGATTTCTTCGTCATTTGTTCTGGACTCCTGAGTTTTTTCTTTTTTATTGAGCATTGAAGATTCAATACTTGAATTTTTTAAAAGGCAAGAATTTCTTTTTTTCATTTTTCATTCTTGGTAGCCTTCCAAGTATTTGATTTTTTTTGACTGAATATCTTAAAACTTGAAGGGGATATTTCATAAGTTGCTTTTTCTCTTGCTTGATTTAAAAAGGATTTTAATAGTGCGCTAAAGAAAAAACTGTCGTGGCTTAACACATTCACGACAATACGTCTCAACGATCGTATTAATGACGCTTTTTTTTGGTTTCAACTCAGGTTTTAAAGGATTTTGTTATTCATTTTGCAGAAAGCTCTCGGTAACTTTGTACTAGTTTTCAAGAGGAGATACAGGGCTATCGAATGACTTCAATAGTTTAGTTTACCTCTAAATTTTCACCAAATTATCAGTAAAACAGTTAACGACTACGCGACCGTACGCTTAATGTGTCGTCGTCGCGATAGCGAGATAGCAAAATTACGGGGCTTTCCGGGGCACTTTTTAGAAAATACTCCCAATCAGGAGATCTTAATACTTACTAAGATTTGAAGTTAGTTTAGATTTGTGTTTATGAATTAGGTGAATTGTTAATGAATAATGAATAATGAAGAATGAATAATGAATAAATTTATGCTTTGTCCTGTAAACCCTTTCTGACTCAAAAAAAAAGCTGGGCGAAATTGCGTCACGACTTTTTTTCGTCGAAAATTTCAAAATCTCAAGACATTGAGTGACTCAGAGAGAATGTAATCATCTGATTTTGCAAAATTTTCCCTACTTTATCAGCACAATTCATCAAATTATTAAAAAATGTCATTTTTTTTTGTTGTCTGAATACACAGCAAAGAACACCAAGAAGTTCAAAAAATTTTCTATTTACCAATCGCATTATTTCCGTCTTTCTTGCAATTTGTGAAGTTTGCACTGATTTCATTGAGCGTTTTTCACGTCAATCATTTTTTGAGAAAAAAATTCATAGCAAAAGGTGTTCTTTTGCAACTGGAAAGCTCGAATCGATGCAATTTCTGAAAAGTTCTCTCGTTACTTTCACAAATCCAGTTTTCTCCCAAGCTTGGCTTGGCTTGGCTCGGCTCATTCGGACTTCTGACAGTTCACTAACTTACAAATGATTTCGTTTTGACTAATAAATTAAAAATGATCTATTTTCTCGAATCACTGGCACAATCTGGGCATTGAATCGAACCGGCTCGCCCCGTTTCCATCTCCATATTTCCTCTTCCCTTTCCCTTTCCTTTCCCAGCTTTTTTCCATTCACCCCCCGGCAATTCCGCTCTCATTTTCCTCGCCGAATCTCTCAAATTCTCTTGTCCGAATTCCAGTCTCTTCCCTCGGCCTATATTTGAATAAATAATCGATTTCTCGATTGCTTTCACCGATTCCCACTTTATAATTTTGATCTAATACAGTTCCAATACGGTTCCAATAGGGTTCCAGTACGGTTCCTATTTTGATCTAATACGATTCCAATACGATTCCTATTTTGATCTAATACGGTTCCCTCGGCCTATATTTGAATAAATAATCGATTTCTCGATTTCTTTCACCGATTCCCACTTTATAATACATTTTCGGCTCAAAAAAAGAAAAGCTTTAGGCCAAATAAAAAAAATTTCGGTTTCAATACTATCCGGTTATACATCCCCAAACCTAAACGATCTAGTTTAAATCTATTATATTGTTTTATCCACTTTACGCATACTTAAAGTACCTTTATTCTGAAATAACCGAAAAATATCTGATACTTTCACACTTTTTTTTTCAAAAATCTGGATAGGATAGACAAAAACGGTTTTACCAATAACCGAATAGTACCAAAATTTCTCTTCTTTCGTGACTAAAGTTGTATAAAGTGTCCATTAACTTTTTCTTGGCATTATTTAAATTTAAATCTTGTCTTATACTTGGCATTATTAGAATTTCAGCTCAAGATTGAAAATCTGAAGCTGAAAAGCTTAAAG